ACCTTTCACATCACATAATGTTTTAGTCTTACATGATGCTTTTTATACCTTGTGTTTAAGAACTGTACTATTTTCACTTTATATAATTTTATATATTTTTTTTTATTTTAGGGAAAGGTCTATAGGGTTTTCAGGGTCTCACTACTAGATTGGACTCATAGTGATCTGCCTGTGTACAGTTTCCCAAGAGGTGGGATTACAGGTGCACACCACCATGCCTAGTCTTTTTTTTTGGCGGAACTGGGGGTTGAACTCAGGCCCTTGCGCTTGCCAGGCAAGCGCTTATTCTACTGAGCTATTTCCCCAGCTCCGCCATGCCCAGTCTCAATAGCCATCTCAGTGCACCCCAGGGGTAGGGCCAGCACGGTAGGCCCAGGGATGGAACCCCCAGCCCCTGTACCTGCTTGCAGGCACTTTAATCCACTGAGCTATTTGGCTGGCCTTGCCCTCCTAAAATATTTTCAAGGTTAAAAAATGAACTACTAATGGCTGGTGAGATAGCTCAGCAGACTAACTTCCTACTTTGGCAAGCCCAGGGACCAGGTTCCATCCCTGGTCTGCATGCTGTGCCAGCTCTGCCCCTGGGGCGCGCTGAGCTGGCAACAGAGTCTAGGAGTGGTGGTACACACCTGTAATCCCAGCCCCCAGGAGGCTGAAAATAGGAGGATCACCATAAGTCAGATCTACATAGTGAGACCCTGTACCAAATACACAAATAATAATAAAATTAACTACTACTTTTTGTGTGCATGAGGTCCCGGGGTTGAACCCAGGGCTTTCAAACTGTTACATTCTTTTTTTTTTCAGAACGGGGGATTGCCAGGCAAACGCTTATTCCACTGAGCCATCTCCCCGGCCCCAAGTTACATTCTTGACCACCCATCACAATGCTTTAAAATTTCATTTTGAGACAGGGTTTCACTAAGTCACACAGGTTGGCTTGAACTTTCAATCCTCCTGGTTCAGCCTCCCAGAGTGCTGGATTTACAACTGTGCACTACCATGCCCAGCTACGGAAGCTACTCCTTAGTGGCAACTTCAGGACAAGCACTGTTTTACCATCACAGAAGAGATGCTCTGTTCCAACAAACAGCTGTAAGAGCTTCCCCAGCTCATACTGTGTCTGACACTGCTGTGGCATAAGCTTCAAAAGGAAACACACTTGGTCCCTCAGCCACACAGCAGGGAGGATAGGGTGGACTGCTGTAGTTGCTGTGTCAAGCTATGAAAAGAAAAAAGGTAAAAGAAAGAGGCTCAGGAAGAGTGATTCACAGGAATAACAAATCAAAATCTCTAAATTAAGGAACAAGAAAGCAAAGATACACTGAAAAGTACCTCCCATTAAAAAGGGATGCTTTCCAAATGGCAGGGGTGAGGGAGGGAGCTCAGGGGACATGAATAAGCCCTCCTTGGTAGCTCTGTGTGTGACCTCTCTGTGGTCAGTCCCAGTGCACAGAGCGCCATGTGTGAAGAATAAGAGTCCTTTGAATGATGCTGTATACTGCCCCTCCTCCATGAGGGATTGAACTGGGGGCCTCAAGCATGCTAGGCAAGCAAGCATGCTCTATCACCATTTAACTGCATCCCTAAACTTAAGAGTCCTAAAGACCAAGTGCTAACTAGAGAGCTCATGCCTGTAAGTTCCTCCCAACCTATCTGTCCAGTTAACATTCCTCTGAGGAGCCATGTTATTAACCAGGCATGTTCACTTAGTTTCTTTCTTTTCCTTTTTTTCTCCCAAGACAGGGTCTTGCTATGTAGTTCAGGCTGGCCTCAAACAGCGATCCTCCTGCTGTGGCCTCCTGAGAACAATTATAGGCATGTGTCATAACACCTAGTGGCTTCTTTAAAAACAAATCTAGAGCTGTCCTTATGTCCAAAGAATTTTAAATTCATATCACGAATGTTTCTTAGTCTTGTTTACCATTGGTTGGTGGTTCTACTACATATTTTGCTGTATAGTACTTTACATTTTTGTTAAAGGAAGTTTTTAAGCCACGAAAGCCTGCATTTGTCATTTCAATCACACACTAAAACTACTAATAGGAAGATGACTGTGAGCAGCAGTCTGCCCACAAGTAGGTGGCAAAGATATCTAAGACACTGTGCCTAATACTGTGAGGAGTGTATTTTCTCACATGATGCTCCTTTTGTCACTCCACCGTTGATTTTTATTTGGTCCTTTTCTTCGTATTATTTTTGCAAGACTAATATTTGGCTCTTAGTCACTCTAATTTTAAATTCCATAGTTCACTCTAGGCTTTGCACAACATAATAAAAAATACTGGGCCTTTTAGTGGAACAAAAAAGTAAACTCTTGAGCTGTGTGCAGTTGTTCCCATTTGTAGTCCCAGGTACTCTGGAGGCTGAGGCAAGAGGACTGCAATATTGGTTAGGACAACTTACGAAACTTTATCTCAGAAAAACAAACAAAAACACAATAGGACACTACAAAACTAAAGCAAGGTTTGGTAGTGCATGCCACACCTGTAATTCTAGCACTCTAGGGAGGAGGATCACAAGTTGAAATATCATCTGGTCAACTTAGTGAGACCCTGTCTCAAAAAGCAAAAAACCAAAAACTTTTAGACAGGGCTGGGATGTTGCTCAGTGCAAAGGCCCTGAGTTCAATCCTCAGTACTGCCAAAGGAAAAAAAGTCAGGTCTGAGAAGAGCCAAGCGTGGAGGCACATGCTTGTAATCCTAGTACTCGGGAGGCTAACGCAGGAGGATCACTGAGAGTCTGAGACCAGCCTGGCCTACAAAGTGAGCTGAAGGTCAGCCTGAACTGCATAGGGAAAGACTGTCTCACAAAATAAAATAACATAAAATAAAATAAAATAAAATAAAATAAAATACAGAGTTTTGTTTGTAGTGTAAATCACAATACTATCTTCAAAGGATTATGCCAAATGTTGCCAGGGTCTTTAGCGAAGGAATGGCTTATAAAATCCCAGGTGATATTACTGCTTTCTCCTTACTACTACTTGGAATTTTCTTTACTAATTTCTTTCCCAGATTCTATATAGCCCTATCTGTCTGTTTCTCATTCTCCTCTCTTAAATTTCAATATGGCTTGTTTTTTACTTTTTTTTTTTTTCCTCAGAACCGGGGATGTTCTGAACTCAGGTCCTTGCGCTTGCCAGGGAAGCACTTATTCTACTGAGCCGTCTCCCTGGCCTTATGGCTTGTTTTTTGTTGTTGTTTTTTAGTAGCATGGTATTCTTGTTCTGGTCAAACAGATTCCAAACTTCTGAGTTCAAGTATCCTTCTCTTTAGGGTCCCAAGTGGCTAGAACATAGGCATGTGCCACCACGCTGGACCACTCACTACTGTTGAAGGAAGATTATACTGCTTTGGAGCTGCTCCCTCAATGCTATTTAGGGGAATGCCAATAAGAATGACAGAACACCAGGTAGCTCCCTATCAGCTCCTGCTCCTGCTCAGACACTTTGGGAGATGTCTGCTATACAATAAGTCTGTGATTTAACGAACATTTAAGTCATGAACTTTCACAGATATGTTAAGACTCACTTTGTTGGCTTATGAACAAATCTGACTTACGAGTAATTCTCCTGGAATGGAGGACTTACTGTATAAAAGTGGAAAGTTACATAATACAACTATTCTTGATTCTTTATCCTCTTAAGTGTCCTCATTAAAAACAGCTTGGATTAGGGCATTAGTCCTTAGTCTTTATTTTTTTTTTTTTTCTCATTTCCCTACTCTGAGAAGAGGGACTACCACAGGCAAATGAAAGAACTAGGGAGGTAAAGGGCCAAGATGACGGCTGCAACATCTCCACAAAGGGTGGCACTGCAAGGCTGGCAGGAATGAGAACTTGGCAGGACCCCAGTCTCAAGAGAGTAATAGGGTGAGGAAATTAACATCTGTGTGTGTGCGTGTGTGTGTGTGTGATTTAGGTACCCCAGACTTAACTCAAATAACTGCTTTAGTACTTTCTTTTTTTAACTGAAAATGATCTGCATTTAAAAAAATTATTTATTTTCCAGTATTTTCAAATACATAGCTTTTTATTTTTTAATTTTATTTTTAACGTATTTGGTACAGGGTCTCACTATGCAGCTCAGACTTGTAGTGATTTTCCTGCTTTCAGCCTCTCCAGTGTTAGGATTAGAGGCGTGCGCCACCACACCTGGACTCAGTGGCCAATTCAGCACACTCTCAGGCGGGGCCAGTGCGGCATGTGGTGCCAGGTATAGCTTTTATATCTTCATTTAAGACCACTTTGACTATGAACAAATGCCTAGAGAGACATTTCACTTAATACTGATGGTGGGTAAAATAGGTATTTATGTGTGTGTCACTTACAAAGCTCTTGGAGAGTACAGAAGGCAAAAGTGCTAAAAACACCAACCAAGACAAGGGCATATTCCTTCTCCTTTCTTACAGCTTCTGTTTTTTTTCTCCCATAATAGTAAGGTTGGTGGGTGTGGTGGCTCAGGCTAAGGCAGGAGTATCATCGCAAGTTCAAGGCCAGCCTGGGCCCCATAGCGAGTTCAAGGCCAGCCTGAACTACACAGTGAGACCCTGTCTCATAAAAAAAGGTTAATATTTTTGGCATGACAATTAGGTCTGAAACAAGCATTTAAAGAAGTAGAGCCCTTGGGGCCAGGGAGATGGCTCAGTAGAGTAAGCGCTTCACTGGCAAGCACAAGGGCCTGAGTTTAATCCCTGGTTCTGCCAAAAAAAAAAAAAAAAAGAAGTAGAGCCCAAGATGAACCACCTGTTCAGCACTGTTTGGACAAGAATAGTAGAACCTCCAGGAGCACTGATGAAAATACAGTAGTCCCTTGCTACTTCACAGTTCAACTTTCATGGACTTACTGTTTCATGTGTTTTCAAAAAATATTAATCTAAATTATTTATTGTGTATTTTTTAGCTATACTGTGGGATTTTGCAGTATCATACAGTATACATACATTGGTAAAGTTACATAGGTTTATGAGTTTAGAAAATAGTTAAGAACATTAGAAGTGTTTTTAAAAGTGGGGGACTACTTTGAGAATTCTTTTTTTTTTTTTTGGTGGAACCGGGGATTGAACTCAGTCCTTTGCGCTTGCCAGGGAAGCACTTATTCCACTGAGCCATCTCCCCGGCCCCTTACTTTGAGAATTCTAATTAAATGAATGTAAGTTTCTTGGTTTTGACACAGTGAACTATTATGACTGATCTGTAAATTCTTCATTTTTATTTTGGACAGTTTTTATTGTTATATTCAGTTATGTTTGTAAATAATTCATTTTCAATTTACAATCTATTAAAAAATTAAAAAAAATAGAAGTGGGGGAAAGGTTTATAAAAGTATGGGAAGGGTTTATAAAGCCTTAAGTATATATAAATAGTAAAATAAATATTACATTGCTACTTTGCTGATTTTCATTTATCATGGGAGTGTTGGGAATGTAACCTCCAAGATAAGTGAGGGACCACTGTATTATTCTTTTCTATCATAATGAGTAAAGCTGAGGTTATCCTAGATTGACCAAATGTGGCTCATGACATCCACTCTACTCTGGCATTCAGTGGGACCATTAATCCTTTTCCATTGAGCTCATCTGCAGAATCAGAAAAGGAATCCAACTACAGCAATTACATGAAAGCTTTCAGCTCATGGCAACAGATGAACTACTGCAAATGAGATCCCTGTGGCCCCCTGCCCTTGCCTGCCCCTGCCCCATTTACGTAATAGTGCAAGTGATTTCGTGTGAATTACACTACAGAGCTACTATTCACCTGACACTCCATTCCAACCACTAGCATGCCAACTAACTTTAGAACAGAGAGAAAAAAGCACTCCTAATTTCAGCTTACAGTTTCAAGGCTCTTCTGGAATTCCTGAAGTTTAGCTTTGGCTTCCTTATAATTCTTGAAGAACATACATAGTTCATATACTTCCATCATCAGTAGTAATGGTGAATCCTTTGGAGAAGAGTTTGAAATTAGAAAAGCCTGACCCTGATATTTTCTTGATGAACAAGGGCAAGTAAGAGAATGTTAAATGCTACTAAAAACAGCCTCAAAGTAGAAATAAGTCTTACATCTTAAAAAGAGTATTAGTTAAATTTATATTTCCTTTTGGAAAAAAAGATACTCAGGATGGGTACACCTATTCAACAAATCCATTTTCTATTCTTGACTAGATTGAATGCAAATGACAAGAGTCATCCACTAGATGGCAGTATGGTGTCTCTAACACACACTGTGGGATGCTGGGTTCCAAGGATCCACCCTCCTCAATGCATAGAATCTAAGGTTTTCAAGGGCAGTTTTGCATCAGAAAGTATGAATCTGAATTTTAAATATACTACAAAGTATAAAGTACTTTTTCTTTCCCCCTGTATTTAGGACAGAGTCAACAGGGTCTCACTATGTAGATCGGACTTGGAGTAATTCTCCTGTTTTCAGCCTCCCAAGTGCTAGGATTACAGGTGGGCACTACCACGCCCAGTCTCAATAGTCATTTTAGTGCATCCCATGGGCAGTGCCAGCACGGCAAGCCCAGAGATAGAACCCCAGCCACCATGTTCTGCCTAAGCAGGTGCTTCAGTCCGCTGAGCACCTAAAAATTTGAGGATTCTTTTTTTTTTGGCTGGCTCAGGCTGCCTTAAGGGCAGGTCTGGTGTGGCATGTCCTGCTGGGGACTGAACTGCAGTTCCTTGCACCTGACTGATTTTGCTCAAGAAGGTGCTTTTTAGACAACTGAGCAAACCTGCCAGCCCCAAAGTATAAAGTACTGTGAATTCTTGGGTAGGATAATTAAGGGCTATGAGCCCTAGCTTATTTGTGTGTAAAATAAGAATAATACCATTCATAAAATCCTCCTATATTATCTTGTATAGGACTGGTGAGAACTTATTAAAATAATACAAAATAAATGGCAGAACTGGAGTGTAGCTCAGTGGTAGATCACTTTCCTAGAATGTACAGGACCCTAGGTCCAATCCCTAGCACTGGAAAACAAACATTCTATTACTGTTATAACCTATTGCTAGCTTAAAAAAAAAATCTAGGGTCTATGAGAATAAGAAAAAGTGAAAGAGGAACATGCTGAAGTACTGCCTGTGACCTCTGGAAAGAACTGAAGTAATTATTCACTACCTTAAAGAAAAGCTGGAAACCTCTGATGAGAGTTCTGCTCTTCTGCCTTGTTAATAATGTTCTCCAGATGATGGAAAAATCCTCAAGGTCCCAGGGGTGGTCTTCTGTCAAGCCCCGAATATGTCCCATTACTTCAGCAGCAACACTGTCCTCCACAGAGGTAATGATCCAGACACAAAGACAGGAAACAGCACTGGCATCCTGGTATCAGATGAACAAGTTTCAAAAGAGAATAATAGCCTGGGTTTCCTAACAGACACAACAAATGCTACAGATGGGTATTTCCTATTTAGAGTAAGTCATCTCAATTAGACAAGATGGCTTAAAAGCTTCCAAACATGACACAAAATCTAATGAACAAAAATGTATGCCCTGTACAGGACTGGATAGCTCGGTGGTCTAAGTGCCTGCCTGGTGAGCACAAGTACCCAGGTTTGACCCCCAGTACTGCAAACCCTGCCAGCCCCTGCAGAGTGTGGCAGGTCAAAAGCAAAGAAGACAGAAAGGTTCATTTATTTATTTATTTATCTATTTTTGCAGTACTGGGGATCGATCTCAGGACCTTGTGCTTTCCAGGCAGAAATGCCACTGAGCTATATCCCCAGCCCCAACAGAGGTTTATAAAAGGCTATGTGAAATGTCTCCCCCCTGCTGAAAAGGAGTGACACGTATTCACCAGAGTGTGCTTCCTATCACCATCAACCAGGAACCACACATCCACCACCTAAGTCCACTGAATGCAAACACATAAAGAAGAGTACAAAACGACCCAGACTCAGAGTCTAAAATTAAGAAGACAAAGTGGTTCAGTCACCATGAAACACATTGGGATCTCATTGGCATCATGAACCCACTAATGATTAGTAGCTTTTTCCGTCACTATTCTTTTTTTTTTTTTTTTCTGTTGCTCTTTAGGTCCTTAATTTAGGCTTCTCCTGCCTCTCACCTGGAGACATGAAGCCAGGATACTGAGGACAGGGGCCTTTTGTCTCACTGCCTCAGCCAGGAGCCAATGACAGGATTTTGGTTGCTCTGAGCACTGTAGCAGAACTTCAAAGAAATTAGTCATCTCGTCTTTGTTTCTCTGGAGTTCCTGAGGAGACTCAGTACTGACTTGACCACTGTTCACTCTTGAGTTGGATACTGAGGCCAAGTTCTCAAAAGCTAGTTGTAAGTGGTCTTGCAGGATGGGGCTGAAACACTGAAGAAGAGACTTCACCTAGAAAGCATATTAGATAATTAAAATAGAAACCTAACTTTAAGTTTCACCCAGAGCTGAATATGTTACAGAAAAGCACAGGCACAATTATTCTTTCCCATTCTGAACTAGGTCAGAGGTGACCACAAAATTTTATAAAGTTGTTCATTTAAGTGAATTTCCATATTCAATCTGGAGTCACAAAATGTTTTCAAGCTTTTCAGTACTGACTAGTCAAGACTAGTGGTGGTGCACGCCTATAATCCCGGTGCTGGGGAGGCTGGAACAGGAGGAACACTGAGTCTGAGCTGCGTAGTGAGACCCTGTACCAGATACACAAAATGAAAAAAAAAAAAAAAAAAAAAAAAAAAAAAAAAAAAAGCTAACAAGGATAAATTTGGTCATTTACAGGAACATGATCAACAACCTTGAGTCCAGCACAGTAAGTGAAATACATAAGACTCAGGTTAAATAGCATATGGTTTCACTTATATGAGAAACCTGAAGTATAAATTGTTTACAGAGCAAAATGAAAGATAAGGTGACAGAAACAGGGAGATCAACTTCATGAGATGGAAAGGGTATCTGGGGACGGAAGGGACACTGAGAAAGAATAAAGGGGAAGTGAAATTACAAAGGATCAAGAGTAGCTGGCATGATGGTGCACATCTGTTATCACAGCATTGGGAGGCTGAGGCAGAACGATTGCTGTGACTTTGAGGCCAGCCTGGGCTATGTTGTGAGTTTGAAGCTACCCTGAACTACACACCAAGACCCTATCTCAAAAAACAAAAAGCAAAAAACAAAAACAAAAAGAAAATTAAAAAAGGATCAAGTCAACTCCCCAAAATGAATGCATATATATCATAAACATGCATTAATAAAAAATTTTAAAATTAAGAAAAAACTTATCTATGCAGTAGAATACTCTCTTCACAGAAATATTTAGATTTCCTGTCAGCAATATGCTTACCTCCTCTGTTTGGTAGTTATGGAGCTGGCTATGAATAAGGAACTGCAACCAGTCATTTGCTTTGGCACATTCTCTAAGGTAGGACATGCTCAGTTTCATATTGTGGAGCCTGCCAAACTGTACCACTAATGTCCACTGGCTCTCAGATTCACTGGATAACCTAGAATTAGAATTAGGGATGGGATGGTAGAGAAAAAAACTTACGAAATTAAAGCTTTAGTTTGAAACTGGAAAATTAGTGAAAATTAATTTAATCACAGTGTATTTTCTAAGAAGCCTTTCAACAGGGGCTAGGAATGAAGTTTAGTGATAGAGCACATGTAAAGCCACAGGTTAGATCCTCAATACTATAAGAGAAAAAGTTTTTAAAAAATATTTATTAGACTACTTTGAAAATGGTCTCTTACTCATAGGTGGAATAGCTTTCTTAATATATTGACATCATTCACTCTTTTCCAAGTCATCAATCAAATAGATTCTAGTATTATGGATTATCCTCAGAAAAACTGAGAAAACAGGCACTCAAGAAACTTCTGGTTAATTCTCTTGCTTGGTTCACTTTGGAGCCCTGGCAGATGCCGGAGGCTCCTCACTAGGGACAGCGCACATGTTCCTTTCCAAGAATGAAACTGCTGTGAACCAAGTCAGCAAGAGTAGTATAGTGTGTTCTTAGGACTGCCCTAAGGAGAGAACACCGGGAAAAAATGGTAAGTATGTGTTTTTGAAGACAGATGCTCACTCTGGCTTCCAGGATCAGCGGACATATGACAAGAACAAAACACTGAGGACAATGTTTAAAAGTCTAATTTTGTAAGACTTGCTGCCACATATTCTGCAATCACTCCAGCATGTAACTCTTAATCATGATTTCACACTTACTAGGCAGGCACTGTGCAACTGAGCTCTATCTCTGGCCCTTACAACACTTTTGTGACTGGATAATCAAAGCTCCTTTCCATCTCTTGGTAAGACTATTTCTAAAAAGGGAATCACTATTGGCAAGGTACAGTTTTAAAAAAGTTCCATTTAGTGCTATCTGCTATATGCTGAATAAATAATATCAGGTCTATTAAGGAGATTTGGTGAAAACACCAGAGGTGCTAGAAGAGAAGCCTATGCCAACAAAGTTAGCAAAAGAAGCTCAGTAGAAAAGAGGCTAGGATTGAAACTCACAAACCTATTTACTTCCTGGTGCTGAATGCTATTCCATATACCTTCTTCTAGAAGAACAAGCAATTCTTCTGTGGTTGCCTTTTCATCATCTGCCAGTTTATACAGTTTCTCAGCTATAAGAAACATGAACAAAAAGTATATGCTGGGCTAGGTTGCAGGGGCTGAGACAGGATATTCACTAGAGCCCAGGAGTTTGACACTGGCCTGAGCAAGATCAAAACTCTGCCTCAAACACACCCACATCCAGATGTTTATGGCCAGGAAAAAAAGTCAGGACCTGGGCGTTTCTGTTTGAATAATAAATGGTCTCCAGAGCCATTTCAGGACCCAAGTAAAGTGCCCAAGTAAGTGAGATAACATACATACAGTATCTGAGTATGTAGCTCAGTGGTAGCACACTTGCCCAGCATGCATGAAGTTCCCAGCAATGCAAAAACCAAAAAACCAAACCCAGGAAGATAATTATTCCTTCTCAAATGCTCACAATTCAATACTTTAGATCTATTCAGCTCTTCTTTTCTAACAGAACAAGCCACATAAAGAACAGGTGCTGTACCTAAAGACTCTCGGAGAAAGCTGTACTGAGTGTCTTCATTTCTACACTTGTAGCTCAAAATTATATTGGCCACTTTCATATCAACTCTGAGCTTGAGGCTGTCAAGGCCAAGTAATTCTAGGAAACAAACACAGGCAGCTCCTACAGAAGGTATGTGGAAAGATGAAAGCCCTAAGACATAGGCTTCCTTGCCTGCTTGCTGGATCCTGAAAAAGAAAGGAATCAACATCACATGAGCACATTAAATCTTTCTCAGCAGGAAAAGCACATTCATGGAATTACATTAGTAATACGTGGAGTACAGGACGTGTGGCTTTTCACTCCCTCCCACTCTTTTACTCCCCTTGTACACATACACTTGGGTTGAAGGTAGCTTTTAAATTGTTTTCAGGCTCTATGCCTCATTTCCTTGCATCAACCTTCTCTTAAAGCACCTACTCATAGTCTACACTGTTTTTGTTTCCAACTTTATCCCAGAGGGTAGAACTTCACAAAGGAACTCGTCTTATAAATTATGATTATGTACATAAACTACCAACAAGATGAACAGCACTTATATTTGACACTTAAAATACAAAACTGATACTTTCATATGGGAACAAATTTCTACAAAGATGCACAAGATGTTTTCAACCATGTTAATTATGTAGAATGAAAATAAGAGACTTGTAAGACTTGTCTTTCATTCTCACTTCTCTGAACTACTTATTTTACCATAAAACTATTCAACTATTTTTTTCATAAAAATGCGTTAATTATAAAATAGTACAAATGAAAAACAGTACCAATTTATGTATTAAGTACTCACAGCTTCTTGGGAGTCTTGCTTTTGGTTAATTCCTGGACCAGAAAAGTACCAAATGCAAATGATGGGCGCCCATGATGTAAATAATAAGCAAAATTCAAATGTTCTACTACAGCATATTTATTTACCAGACCAGGGCTAGAGAAATGTGGAAGATGACTCAGCGTATCTAGGGGAGAAAGTAGAGCAATGTTAATCTTCTGTACCTTATGATAGTTAATTTCAGATTTGCTTACAGAGAGCTTAACTCTTCAATGGTAAAAAATTTGTTGGTTTCTACAATCATTCTATACCATAGTACACTTTGTTTGAACCTATCAAAATCTAGTAATTTTATTTTATTTAAGTGTACAGGTAGCCTTCACTTGTACTCCCCATACTAAACCTACTTAAATTTTATTTTTTTGTTTTGAGGCTGGGTCTCACTGTCCAAGCTGGGCACAAATTTGTGATCCTTCTGGCTCAGCCTTCAGAATGCAGACATTATAGCTATTTGCTACCTTCCTGCAATTTTAGTTGCTGAAACCATTTTCTTCCTAGAGACTTCACACTACACCAGTTTTTAACCCACTAAGTGCTTTGGCTGAATCTCCTCTCCTCTATGGACTTCTGTTCTTCATAGTAAAATGAGCACACTGAGCTAAATGACCTTTGAGGGCCATGCCACCTGGAGTGTTCCACGTTATTATTATATTATTATTAAATGACTTTCTCCCATGAAAGCAGTGCTGAATTACAGCTCTGACTATGGCCTGGTAGGGCCAATGGAATAAGGTTCAGTGACTTCTAGGGATACACAGGGATTTCTGGACTTTCTGGCTACAGTTCTAGCCATTGCTACTGATGCCAAGATGTGACTGAGAGGAATCACACTGTGTAGGATATCCCTAAATCAAATGAGGAGTACAAACTGGAAACAGGAAAAAACACATCCAGAAGTGACTCCTCAGGGCAATTATGACACTGTTACTACAGTAGGAAGAAGCTTCAATATGGCAGGTCTAGTGTATCAGTGTTAATAGGTTTTTGGGTCATAAAAGAATTTGCTTGATTCCTGACCTTCACAATACCAGTTGTGTGATCTTGAATAATTTATTTAGCTTTCTAAAAATTTACATATTTAAAGAATACAACACAATATTTTGATATAATCATTACTACAATTGAGCAAATCCAACATCTCACATACTTTGTTTTCTCTGGGTAGTAACACTATTTAAAACCTACTCTGGCAGATTACCCCTACATATAATTATCATTATGTACATTATATTGTACCTCCAAACTTCTTCATCCTATATAACTACAACTTTGTACCCTTTGACTTACGTCTTCTTGTTCCCCATGACCAATAATTACCATTCTGCTCTGTTACTATGTATTTGATTTGGTAGGAGCAGTACTGGATACTGAACCCAAGGCTTTTGACCTTTTTTTGAGACAGGATTCTATTAAGTTGCCCAGACTGGTATCACACGTGCAATCCTCCCAATATAGCCTTCCCACATACAGGGATTACAGACATGGTCCATCATCCCTCGCTGATTCTCCTCTTTTACAACACGTACTATATTATGCATCACTTATCTTTCTGGTATCTTTCTTTTTGGTGGGGGGGTACTGGCAATCAAACTCAGGACCTCATTTATGCCACCGAACTATCTCCCCAGCCTCATTTGTCTTTCTGAATGGAACTTATTTCCCTTAGCAGAATGCTCTCTACTTTTACACATATTGTTGCAAATGACAGGATCTCTTTTTAATGCTAGACATTTTATTATTCATGTATGTGGAAATATTTATGTATTGTATATGTGCTGCCAAAGCGAGCACAATATTTGTATGTTGTATAATATATAAATATATTGATACATCTACCATTATTACAAACGTATTTTGCAGTATCTGCCACTCATGAATGGACATTGTAATATATCCATTCATTTGGCAACAGATACCCATTTATTTCTAGATATTCACTACTGTAAATAATGCTATAATAAACATGGGAATGCAGATGTCTTTATGTAATAGTAATTTTCCTTTGGGTAAATACCCAGAAGAAAGACTGGGGAGTCATGGTAGTTTAATTTGTAATTTATTTAGGAACCTCTATACTATTTCCCATAGTGTCTGCTATCAGTCTACACTCCCCAAACTGCTCAAGGGCCCCCTTTTCTCCATACTCTTTGTCAATACTTACAATCTTGTTATAAAAGCAATCCTAATTGATGCAAACTGCTGTTTCATTGTAGTTTTGATTTACGATTTGTTGGCACTTAGTAATATAAAGACTTTTTGATATATCTTTTGGCCACTTTGAAGTCCTCTGTAGAAAAAAACCCATTCAGGACTTTCACTCATTTTTAAAGATTTATTTATTTGCAGAACCAGGATTGAACTCAGGCCCTTGCGCTTGCCAGGGAAGCGCTTATTCCACTGAGCCATCTCCCCGGCCCCGATTTATTTACTTATTTTTTAAAAAATGTATTTAGGAGTCGGGGAGATGGCTTAGTGGAATAAGTGCTTCCCTGCCAAGCATAAGGGCTGGAGTTCAATCCACAGTTCCAAGGGGAAAAAAAAAAAAAAAATGTATTTAGTACAGGGTTTCACTACACGGTTCAGACTTGTAGTGATCCTCCTGTTTTCAGCCTCCCAAGCGCTGGGATTACAAGCATGTGCCACCATGCCCAGTCTGTCACTGTCTCAATGTGCCCCGGGGCGGGGCTGGCATGCATGTGGTGCCCAGGATCGAACCTGGGTCCTTGTGCTCTGCCTAAGCAGGTGCTTAAGTCTGCTGAGCTATCTAGCCGGTCTTATTTATTTTTAATGTATTTGGTCATTGCTGGGTCTCACTGCACAGCTCAGACTCTGGTGATCCTTTTAGCCTCCCTAGTGCTGGGATTACAGGCATGCGCCACTAGGCTCGGCTGGCAGGCTCAGCCCACCCTTGGGGCAGGGCTGCTGCAGCATGTGGTGTCAGGGATCCAACCATGTTCCATGTGCTTGCCTACCTCGCCTGAGCAGGTGCTTTAGTCCACTGAGCTATCTTGCCAGCCCTTTTTTCTCATTTTTAATTGAGTTATTTTATTGTCTTGCTACTGAGTTATATGAGTGCCTTATGTATTTAGATATAAAACCTCTAATTAGATCTGGAGTTTGTAATTATTTTCTTCCAGGCTATAGATGCTTTTCATTTTACCAGTTTTTTCTCTTGCAGAAACTTTCTTGTTTGATATAGATCCACTTTTTCTTTTCTTTTTTTACCTTATTGTCTGAGATTTTGGTGTCCCATATAAAAAAATAATTGCCAAGACCAACGTCAAGACATTTTCTCTGTGTGCTTTTTTCCAGGAATATTATGGCCTTAAGTCTTACATTTAAGTCTTTACTTCAATTGTATGTATGGCTGAAGGGTACAATTTCATTCTTTTGTATGCGAATAGCCAGTTCTCCCAGCATGATTTATTGACAGTGCTTTCCCTATGGCATATTCTTAGTATCTTTGTTGAAAGTTAGTTGATTACATGAGAGTGAGATTCTTTCTGGGTTCTCTATTCTGTTATATTTGTCTATGTATCTGTTTTTATACCATTACTCATACTGCTTATTACTACAGCTTTACAGGTTTTGAGATCAGGAATTATAAGCTTACAGCCTTTTTGTTCAGGCTTACTGTAGCTCTCTGGAGATTGTAAGAAGACTTTTTTCCATTTCTATAAAAAAAAATCACTGGAATTTTGAGAATTTCACTGAACCTATAGATTACTTTAGGTAGTGTGAACATTTTAACAATATGCTTTTAATCTGTTTATTTATGCCTTCTATGCTTTTCACCAATGTTTAATTTTTATTTATTTATTTGTGTGTGTGTGTGTGTGTGTGTGTGT